TGACCAAGTAAGAATATATGTATGCAAATACATTACAATAATACAATGGGTTTCTTCTTGATTGAACAACCACTAACTGTGGTCAACGGGTGTCTCCCGCAAGTAAATTTCTTCTTGTCCTGCCACTTATAAATACTGTCTTCTGGCACTTCCCCCACCTTTAATCGTGGTATGCCACCTCTCTCTTCGTATAACCAAGTGACTGCCTTATTCAGGTCTTACGCTTTTGGTTCTTGTAGATACTCAGCTATGTGCCCTTCGCAACTGTATGCCTTATTCAGGCCTTACTACAGTAAATAAGACGACCCACAGCTGAAATCTATAGCAAACACCGTCTCCAAAGAGGTTTCAAATGCACTCTTATACGACTTGTATTATTCCAGTGCAGACCCAGTATAATGGCAGATTCATACTACTTGTATGATCTGAAAATTAATATTTTTTAGTGTTTAAGAAATCTAAAGAAAACGTAGGTCTAACGTTTGTACGAAACTAAACAACCATTTCCGTTTCACTATTTTACTTTTAATTACATATAGATAATGAAGGGAAAAAATACAGTAACTGTAGAATCATATGAATTCGTTGGGGTAAATGTTCGTCTGCAAACAACATTTTACGTATTTCGGAGACGTAATTTCTTTGAATAACCGATTATTCAGTAGATTTAACGAATTACTGTTTACAAAAATAATCTTTCTTGATGATGAAAATTTGTGTGAAATGGTCAATAATAAAATCTTAGAACATTAGTCTAAGACGAAGAATGATGATTTGAACGTTTTCCTTACCTCTGGGAAGTCTTTTTGGTCAACATGGATATTGTCAGTTTTGGTCAGAGAAAAAGTTGAATTCTCTGTGTGATTCTTTGCATTTAATACACAAATTCTATCAGTTTTGCTCCAGTCAACTGATCCACACAGTGTAAATTTATGACAAACTATCATACATATCGTAAGACTTGTATTGGAAAGAACTTTCAATTCAGACCCAGCTTCTGTTAAAGAATTCTTCAAGTTGTTGATTAAAAAAGTCTCTGAATTACAAGATTGACAAGAATTAGTCGGTATAATTCCAAGAAAGAAGAAAATGAAATAAAAGATGATCGCTACAGCATTTGACATTAAACGATGCATTTAGACGAATAGGTATAGGAATTATGATTCAGAATAACTTTAACAATTCACTTTGAATCATCATATCATGGTTAACATCTAAAAGATTAGCTTCAATTTATTGGAATTACGTCAACATACCTATCAATAATTAAAATAAATATGAACACTGCGTTAGTGTGCTTTTATTTTATGAAATCTATTCAAACAATTTGAAAATCGATATGAAAGGTATGACTTATCGCTATACAGGTAAAATGAAATACGATATATACTGAAATTAAACTTAAAAGAAAAGCAACATCCTTATCTAAGGGGGAAAATCAAAATGCGTTATAACTTTGAATTTAAAAAGTTCAACTTTGCCAAATCAGTAATGTAACGGTTGAATGATTGTCAATCTATTATGGCACGCAAAATTCACAAAAACGAGCTAATCATAGTTTCACAGTTGATAAACTAGGTTTATCGACTGTAAACAATAGTTTAGGGTGCGTAATATAAACTACAGTTTACGATGATAATCTATATTTCACATCTGTAAACTAAAGTTTACGCGATAATCTATGTTTAACAAGCATTAACTGTAATTAACACTGAAAACACTAACTTGCGACTGCAAAACATAGATTATCTGATGATTACAGTTTCACGATTTGTAAACTATGATTAACAACTCTTAACTATAGTTCACGATTCTAAATTATAGGTTACAGACGTGAATATATGTTTATCAACAATCGATTGTTTACGTTTTATTACAGACAGATAAAACTTAGGTAAGCATTCGTAAACTTTAGTTAACAACCGTTAAATATAGTAAATGTTTTACACATGAAAAGTATAGTGAACGAATTGTTCACTATAGTTCACGGTTTGTAAACTATAGTTTACAGTCGATAAACGTAGTTTATCAACTGCGAAAACTGTGTTCATTTCATTTTTGTGAATTTCGGTCAAACAACCGTCTTTCATGCTTATGAAACGCATGAACCTGTTGACTCGTTTTGAGTGTATATATATATGCATTTGTAACACTCCATTATCTTTATTTTGATAACTTCTTTCACATCCGAAAATGACAGAACAATTATTTATCTTCCTTTATTTTTTGGCCATGCATTTCAACACGGTTTGAATTAAATACAACATACAAATGATTTAAATGTAATACACATATCATAAAACTATTATTTGCATCCGACAAAAACATGACTTTATATATATGTGACGTCATAATTTTGTCAATATAGCAATTAGTCTGAAAACTTCAAACTCGATTCCCGATGCATGGGGAAACTGCAAAGTAAACGAAAATTTATAATTTGCCATAAATATTTTTTTTAACATATCCGAGACGTAGAGAACCCGGCCAAGAGAGTTTAATGAGATGTGATGTAATGAGACTTTATACATGTAAGTAGAAATCAAAACGATATACATGTGTAAAAAGTAATAGAATAATTATTACAAATCTTGTATCTTCCTAACGTTTTCACCTTCTGAAATTTTACATAAAAAAAATTCAATAAATCACAGTCAAAATAAGTCATTTAAGTATACATAAATCTCCATTATACTTGTATACATGTACATGGAAGTTGATTTCTACATTTAAAGCAATCTCTCACGATATCCATTTGTTATACAAATTTTGAACATGTACTATACGAAACAAAAATTAAATCTAGCCTTAAATTCTTACGTACAAACAGTCATTCTGTCCGATAGATATAAAATCATTGTGTATATCCTGCATTAAATTATGATAGAGCGAAGTACCAAGAAGAAAATTATCGTTTAACTAATAAAAATACACAATGCCTGTAGCTAATCTCAACATTTTATCACATAACCATGTGTTGAGGCGTGCACTGAATAATACATATCGTAATTTATATCAAAAGAAAATTTTTTCGACCATCTTTACATGATATTTCAATATCCTTCATATCTGAATAGCTTGTTTTCTAATTTTTATACCCCTCGCTTGAAAAGCAGGAGGGTATATAGTAATCATTATGTCCGTACGTCCGTCTAGCTGTCTGTCCGTGTACGTCCGTCCGTCTGTCTGTTACGCTTTGGGGTACCCATCTCTTATCCGCAACTCCTCTCAAACCACTGAATGAAATTTGATGAAACTTTCACAGAATCTTAATTACATATTGCCATTGTGCAAATTCTATTTTGCTTTTTGATTTAACATATTTTTGGGTTTTACACAGCAAAACACGGACACTGCCATTATATTCATATGGGAGGCGGGGGTATCATTTAGTGAGCTCATTGCTCACAGTACCTCTAGTTTTAAAGGGCTTTGTGCACAAGAATGATATCTGATAAATATTTACTTCAACACAGATGACTAAAGGCAGACTTAAATCAAAATCCCGAGAGTAGCAAACCAAGTTTTATCTATTTGAGTAAAATGAATACTCTTATTCAGCACAATTTTTTTTTAATTTAAAAATTCCAAATAATGGGATTTTAAGTGAAAAAAAAATATATAGATTAAGAAGGGTCACTGACAGGTTACAGAAAGGTATTTTATCAGCGTAGAAGGTTTCCAAATTCATAATATTTTTGGAAAGCTTTTCATGTTATTCAATGTTATTAGTCACAACCAAGAAACGCTTTCTTTTAAATATGGACAATCCAGGTATCCATATTTTCCTTTGTAGCATTTGACTTTAATCTTAACACAATACATTCTGATACATAATTATAAAAATATATGGAACTCTATTATAATAATGTCTCCTTGGGGATTTTCATGAATCTATGTTAATACATTGAAAAGAAATAAACTTCCCTGAGTACAGTTCCATTAAATAGATATATTGAAGAAATAGCAATGTGTATATACATATTGAAAGTAATAAATTGTAGTTTTTGTTAAAATATGGAATAGATTTCATCCAAAAGTGGTTGCCATGGGTTTTTAATTTACCATGATGATATCTGTTCGCTATTTAGGTAATAAATAAATTAAAACCTTAATTGAAACCATTATTATAGCTTAATCGGTAAAACGCTCTCTCTCTTTCTAGAGGTGATTGACAGCTTATGCGTTATAACCCCATCGCGACAGAGATGTTTCAATGCTCAATGCCCCTGAGTGCCAAGTGAACGTCTGTGTATTAAATATGCTTATAAAGCAGAATTTACTTAAAAACTTGTTCATGATAAAAGGTAAACTCTTGTCATGGTTTACTACAATATATTTAGAATTTTCAAATTTAGAACGATCAACAAAATATAATTTATCATATATTACATAAGTTTTTGGTTTCACTATCAAGGTTGTTAATCTTTTTTTTTTTTTGACAACTTAAGGAAAAAAATAACAGAGATAGTTGTACAGAATCAAAGATAAACAAATCTGTAAACAGGAAATAATACAAGGACTCTCGATATCTCAAAGAAAGAATCGGGTACCAATGATGAATAAGCCTGTTCTGTTGTTTGATCACAGATGTCAAGTGTTTGATTTTGTTCTCAGGTTAAAATGGGTAATTAGTAACGACATGTACATGTATCACCAAGTCAAATTTTGATTTTTCTTGTCAGATTTGCAAATCAGTTTTGTCAGTTTTTATCATAATGTTCCGAGACCTATTATGTTATTCTAATTCTACATTTATTTTCTTGGGTGCTAGTACTTTAGCATTCGGCATTTATGAGGTTAAAAATGTGTATCACATCTTTTTAAGTAAAGGTTTACAGATTTAGTTGCGATAAACTTTATATTTATATCCCCCAATATCCTTTTTTCTCTCTATCCCTTTGTATATCTCTATCTCTCAATTAAGAAAAAATAAATAAGAAATGGTGTCTGTTAGACCTCTTTAATTATGGAGAATGTATGGAAAAGAGCTAATTATTCTAATTAGGTCGAGGCAGAAACTCTTCTGGGTCTTCTGCCAAATCCTCCACGGTGTAAGTTCTCTTTGGTACACAGTCAACCTCTTTCCTGTTAGACTCTATCTTTAATGGACCGTTTGGGTCATCATAAAATATCTCTACACCGTCTCGAATTCCCAAACTTGGGTTTTTAGGAAAATAGTTGAAAGGCAGTAGAAAAAAAACTGGCGTCACCACCAATGGTTTGCAAAATTGGTACCTCTGATGTATGTGGTATGTGATGAATCTCAAGGGTAACCCACGCAACCAGGTTCTTTAAAGTAAACTTAACTTTAGCGATAGAAAGCAATTTTTAAATGTTTGGAAAAACACACTTCTAATAAATTTATAACAGTTTTATAAAGAATACAAGACTAGTACAATTTACCTCTTGTTAGATTGATTCGTCTCCAATAAACTTTTCAAAATTAATTGTCCTGTCTTCTCCGTCGAATGTACCGTATTTAGAGCTGCTGTATTGTTCATTTTCTTTCCTCTTTGTGACCGCCAATTGATATCTCATCCAGGATGCACCGGGCTCGTTCCCTTCTCCTTCTTTGAAGACACTTTTGGCAATTCCCTCCGGGATTAGCCAATAGGCCCTAGGATTCCCAAACCTATCTCTCTTTTCTTTATTGTAGAAAACATGGTATTTTGGTTTGTTGAAATTGTACCTATATGCTGCTTCTCTCTCTGTAGTGTAATTGACTTTTACAATTTTAGCTTGGTACCAGATCTCCGGCGATGCTGGAAATTTGTTAGGAACGCTTTCCTCTCGTATGTCATAAGTAGAGTAACTTTTTTTTGTTCCCCCGATGTTAATATCTATCTTACAAATAAACATATGCTGATGAAGGAGGCCGGTTGATTGTCTGTTTATTTGGAAACCATACATACAAGTGCCTTGGACATACGACGGCAAATCAATCCCTGATTTCGTTACTTTTGTTTTTATAGCTCCATTATGGTAGAACATAAAGTCATAGATATAGTCATAATTGACAAGAGTAAAAATCATTCGAAGAACAAGTACAGTATTAGGTGCACCTTCGTAATAGCCAGACCGAGAGTGGTCTGCTACAAAATGTCGTCGTAGTGGCGTTCCAGTATTCTGTTCAAAGACGCATATTGAGTTTTCTTTCACAACTGGCATGTCTGACGTTTCGGACATAAATCTTGAATCAGCAAAAGTTGCATGACTTGGACAATCAACGCCTGGAACCAATGTCTGAATGTTGTTTCCAATCAAAACGACACTATCGAAGAAGTTAGCAAATCTACCTATAGGTTCAGAAGATGAATAAAAAACAGTCATCTCTGATAAATCTAACTGATAAACGATCAGTTCTTTTTCAAATTTAATTTGATACAACTGAGGACCATGAGTAGGGGATACTCCAAACTGAAAATCCCAGTTCATGTAGTGAACTGACTGTCCTTTGATGGAGTAACGTTTTCCATCCGGTTCCACTTGAGGTGGAGGCCTTTGTGGATACTTCTGAAAAGCTTTACAAGGAAGAGGATGAGACGGAAGTGGCACGTGAAGTTTCTCTACGTCTCCTTTTAACCAAGCATCTCTTAATGATTGAAGCGAGTCAAAGAGTTGACCATTGTACCAAACATGTGAAGTTTGTGGGGTAACTGTTCCATTAACTGTAACAAGTACAACAAAATCAACAGGGTTTAGGGTACTTGGACGTCTTCTTTGAAGAAACGGAAACCAAAAACCTCGAAAATTTTGATTGAGATTCCCAGAAGCAATGGCAGAGTATGGTACTACGGTCTCAAACCCGAGGCATCTGTACCCACAATTGACTAAAAACCCTTCGAAGCTCTCTCACAAAATATATCCTGCTAGTCTGTCAGTCTCCTCTATGAGAACTTCAATAGCTGCTGTCGTTTCTGGATTTGTGAATGGTCTGAAATAAAATGGGATAAATCTTGGTCTTCCACAAAAGCGTGGTCTAGGACTAAGTCTTACGCAATACTCTGCAACTACTGGATTCTCTTTATCACTTAAATAATACCGTGACCAAGGCTTTTCTTACTAATTTCTTTTGGCGTCCCCACTGTATGTTCTTCTTTTTAGGAGGAATTAATTCCATTGAGAAAATGTAGTTAGACGACAAAGTGGCCTCACTCTGCATTGTCAGGTTTAGTCTTCTCTGTGCAAACACGAAACACGATGTTGGAGTTCGTGGAGATCAATTGAGCCACTTCAAGTCACAAGGCGACAGGTTGGGCATCCAGTATCGCCATTTTTATCATCGGTGGCAAATGTGAATATAAAAAGAATTAAATATAATCAAATGTCATCAACACAATTTGATTTACTAAATTCCATATCAACTTTGATCTTTGCTATAAAAATATTATATTAAAAGACGACAGACGAGGATGCCTTTTAAGAACTATTTTGTTGTATTGCACATCTGAATGCAGTGTAAGAATTCAAAGTGGATAGATGTGTTATTGTTTTTCTGAAAGATATTATTAATTCATTACACCATTTTTTGATCCATTACCATCTATTACATTTTTTATACCTTAAAAAATAAAAGAGACCCATTTACCACCGGAGTGATTTTCTTCATCGTAAACAAAGGAGAGAGTGTGATCGCGGAAATAAAATATAAATAAATAAATAAACAAACATATTTTTTTTTCTTTTTTATGTAGAAATATTTAAAAATTAAACAAAATTATAGTTAAAAAATTGTTTTTATTTTTTTTCTAGGAAAATGTTTAAGTTTATAAGGAAATATGTGGAGAACATTAAGTATCTTTTAAACCAAATGCTAAATTTTATTGTGAATGTACGTATTAAGCTTAAAATATAAGACGATGCGATGTTGACATATGAATATTCGAAATATAAATCTATTTTCTGATAAAACATTTTGTTAATTTCCTTCTCTCTGTAATATGATTGAAATGCAAGTTTAAAAATAGCAAATTAAGGAAATAAGATGTGTTTGTGAAACAATATGCGTCCCGCGGCAACAAAGTTAAAAAAAGCTATGTATGTTTACCATACAGGTCACAGTCAAGGACATAAAGTCATTGATCTTGGTGCTATTTGAAAGAACTTAATTAGTGGAGTAAGCGTTCTGTATACAAATTCTCTATTACTTATGGTTCAAAAAGTAGGGCGAAAGTTCGAAAAAGTTCTTTTCAGCAAAAAGTCACAGTCAAGGTCACAAGGTTAATTATGTCAATGGTGTCATTTGAAAGTCCTTAATTAGTGGAGTATGCAAACTAACAATGAAGTTTCCATCTCTCACGGTTCAAGAGTTATTGCGAAAATTAAACAGATAAACAAACAAGCAGACAGACAAGAAAAAAACAATATCCCACCAGGATCTATCTATCCAGGTGCATAAGAAAAAAAATAGAAGAAATAAATAAGAAGTGCAAATTAATTTCTAATAAATTATATTACAAAATATTTTTATGACATTCGGAGAAATGACTGATTGATTGTATATTGTTTAACGACCCTCTCCAGAATATTTCACTGATATAGAGACGTCACCATTACCGGTGAAGGGCTGCAAATTTAGGCCTATGCTCGACACTTGCGGCCTTTGAGCAGGGAGGGATCTTTATCGTGCCACACCTGCTGTGACACAGGGCCTCGGTTTATACGGTCTCATCCGAAGGACTGCCCCATGTAGTCGCCTTTTACGACAAGCAAGGGGGTACCGAGGACCTATTCTTACCCGGATCCCCACGGTGGTCATTCGGAGAAATGATACAATATTTTTCATGTATTATTTTAATATTGGTTTAATTTCTATTTTTATAGTACGTGAGGGAGAGGGGAGTTAACTCTTCCTATGATTAATCTACGAGGGTTGTCCCGTAAAATCGTGGACAAAGCGTTTTTCTCGAAAAGTAATGGGCGCACTAAGCTGAAAATTTCAGTAAATGTTTATTTATCATATTTAAGTGCATGATAATTTTTTTGATAAAATATAGGCAAAAATAAAGATTTTATTATGCTTGAATGTGCATGGGGTATTGTCCTACGGCGCACGGACAAAAAAACCAAGATTTTATTAAAGAATACACAAGTTTGAATTCAAAATAAAAGTTTTCAATACATAAGATTTGGATTAAAATTATCCTAATTCAATTCCACAATCAATTTTGGAGTCTTTGTAAAAATTTGAAGGCATTTGGTTATTTCTTGGCAGTTTCTCGAGCATTCGAAATGGGAAAGTGGTAAACACAACACACGAAAAATGGCGACGTTTTATGACGTTACGGCGCACCGGAGAGTAGTTCCGTTTTAATTCGATGTTGAAATGACACCTTTAGAGACTTGAAATGACCATTGAAGAAAAAAGATTATAAAAATATCACCATATGTTAAGTATACAAATGAAATAGGTGTTTTCTTAGCGAAGTCTTTTTTGATCGAGTCCCTGGGGAGTACAAAACACACGGACAAACTCCTAATGTAATAGCAAAAGACGCAGTCACAGTAGACCGCCGATATGAGATTTTCTATTAGTTGAATGATGGTGGGAATATTGTCCGTAACTTACTGATAAATCTTCAGAAGATCGCATGAGGGTGCCAACTGGTTCTTTGACTGTTTATGGAGACTAAAGATTGTGTATCAATGAAATTCCTAAATTTAAGTCGGACTCATCCAACTTCATTTTCACCAAAGATAAAACGTGACGCTGTTTTAGACACTTTGACGTTATAATCCATGCGCCGTAAAGTGATACAATACATGGCATAAAATCACATAATTTGTTTATGTATGCATATATTTATCTGAAATTTGCTGTGTATATTACTAAAATATGTACTAAATAATAGTGAAAATTTCAGAACGCAGTGATGTTTATTTTTTACACTAAACAACTTGTCCACGATTTTACGGGACAACCCTCGTATATGTATCATTCGGAGAAATGATACATATAGATTAAATACAGGAAGAGTGAACTTCATTCGATTATTTCTTTTTTTATTACTTAATAATTTTGTTTTCCTCATTAAATAATTTTTTCTTATTTCAATTATCTTGTTTTCTTTGTGAAAAAATTTCGTTTTTCCTTGATTAATATTTATTTTCGGTTCGCATTTTTAGCTTCCGTACGTCTTCATTTTTCTTACAGTTTGTCTAATTATTTCATTAATAACTGCCCTCCACATAAAATATAAAAAAAAAAATAAAAAAGAATTATAAAGTATAATTTATTGCTTACATTTTTGTTAAAAAAAAATATAACTACAGAAAAAATTCTTTTATTTCAAGCACTTGTTGATTAAATAAAAAATATATTTGAAAGTTTAATCCTGTTAACATTTTCATTCTAAATTTCTTCAAGGAATAGTGTTGATGACAAAGGTTTATACATTTGTTCTTTTGAGTAAATATAGAAATATGTTTAGTTTTCATAGGATTATTTCTGAGAAGGCATTTGATAGGTTTTATATTTTGACGGATCGTCTATATCGCGGATGTGGATTTTGGTTTCGTTCGTCAGATGTATATCATCAGATGTTTTCAAGACTGAACGGCCTTTAGCCTTACATGGAACAAGGTCTGTCTTGGGATGTTTCATTTCAAACACAACATCCGTTTTCCCTTGGTCCCTGTGACCTTCCCAGTATTTTGTCATGCCATCATAATTATTCTTCGCAATCGCATCTCTTGAATGTTCTGGCCCCATCTTTGTTACGTAAGTTCCGGTACCGAATGCAGCATCATCCGTAGTTGAAGTTTTTTCTGATTTTTTAATCTTTTGATCTTTGATTATATTTCTTGCTCCAGATCTGGAAGTATGATGATAAACTACTGTTTCCTCCGAATCACTCATAATCTATCTGATGATCTACAGAAAGAAAAACGTATAATTAAACACAGTAAAACCAAAGTCTTAAATAAAAAAAAAAAGCTAGGTTTAAATTAAAAAAAAATATTAAAATCACCTACTATTATTATAGAGGTCATGATCTAATTGTTTTGTATTCTATTCAGTTTAAAATTTAGAGTCCTAGTTAAGATGTTTTTTTCTCATTTTTTAAAATATTCTATTTAAGGAATGACTCTAATTCTTGTCCAAATTATTCGATGATAACCTGGTTTGGGTCAGTTTACGCTTTATAATCCGCAAAGCAAACCAGGTTATCATCAAATAATTTGGCCAAGAATTAGAGTCAATAATTTAATTATAAAATAATTAAACAACTGTGGGTGTAAAAGAGTTGCTTTTTATGAGTTCAAATTTGCCACTCAGTAATACATCCCTAGTAACGGAAGTGATATGAAACAAGGGGAGGTAATAACTGATATACAGATCTAGCATCCATGATGTTTGTGTACACAAGTAAGATCGAGCTACTGTTTGAAGTTAAAGGTACATTTATTAAATCTGGAATTTCCCATGAATTCCAAGGACTGGAAATGGGGATTGTATGGATACATATGATTCAGCTGGTTGTCAAGGGGGGTGGGGGGGGGGGTCCCCATACAAAACCCGGTTATTATGTTCCCCAAACGAAGTTGGGGAACATATTGTTTTTACTCTGTTTCTTATTATGTTCCCCAAACGAAGTTGGGGAACATATTGTTTTTACTCTGTTTCTTATTATTAAGGTCTTCCGTTTCCAACGGATTTTCAGTGAAAGTAAAGGAAGAATTGTAGAGTTGCGGGCTGGTGTCCAAATCTTTCTAGCGCAAAAGGCGCCGAAGCTCGGTAGGGCCCGAAAAAATATATCAGAAACATCTCACAAAATTTGACACCTTTTGTTTCATATCTTCTTATCTCTTTATAATTTGTTAAGACATATTGAACGAAAGTTGTGCAGAATTACAAGAACTATTACATGATATGAAGAAAATGGGGCTGACTCCTCAAATTAGGGGCTCAGAGGGGCCAGAAGTCTTTCATCTTTAACTCTTTCATGATCAATATTTTGTGATACATTACAGAAGCAAAGATGTTCATATTAACAATTTGCAACAATATATTATAAAATTTCGGTCATATGTTACGTAATTAGGGGTCACAAGGGGCCAAAATTCTAAATCTTTGACGCTTCATATCTCGAAAAGGGGGAAAATTTTGATAAGCAATATTGAACAAAAGATGGTCAGAATAATGATTTAAACAATATGCATACTTTGATTTTTTGTAAAATGGCCCCATTAAGGACTTGTCGGGGTGGCCCCTAAATATTTATATTAAGCATATCTTCTAAACAAAAAGAAATTTCTGAATAGTTGTAGAACAAAAAGTCTTTAAAATCACAAGACCTTTCGTTTGATGTCAAGAAAATCGGGCTGACTCCTCAAATTAGGGGCTCAGAGGGGCCAGAAGTCTTTCATCTTTAACTCTTTAATGATCAATATTTTGTGATACATTACAAAAGCAAAGTTGTTCATATTAACGATATGCAACAAAATATTACAATATTGTGGTAATATATTACGTAATTAGGGGTCACGAGGGGCCAGAATGCTAAATCTTTGACGCTTCATATCTCAAAAAAGAGGGAAAATTTTGATAAGCAATATTGAACAAAAGATGGTCAGAATAATGATCTAAACAATATGCATACTTTGAATTTTTGTAAAATGGCCCCATAAAGGACTTGTCGGGGTGGCCCCTAAATATTTATATTAAGCATATCTTCTAAACGAAAAGAAATCTCTGAATAGTTGTAGAACAAAAAGTCTTTAAAATCACAAGACCTTTCGTTTGATATCAAGAAAAAGGGGCTGACTCCTCAAATTAGGGGCTCAGATGGGCCAGAAGTCTTTCATCTTTAACTCTTGAATGATCAATATTTTGTGATACATTACAGAAGCAAAGTTGTTCATATTAACAATTTGCAACAATATATTATACTATTTTGGTCATATGTTACGTAATTAGGGGTCACAAGGGGCCAGAATGCTAAATCTTTGACGCTTCAAATCTTGAAAATGGGGAAAATTTTGATAAGCAATATTGAACAAAAGATGGTCAAAATAATGATCTTAACAATATGCATACTTTGAATTTTTGTAAAATGGCCCCATTAAGGACTTGTCGGTGTGGCCCCTAAATATTCATATTAAGCATATCTTCTTAACGAAAAGAAATCTCTGAATAGTTGTAGAACAAAAAGTCTTTGAAATCACAAGACCTTTCGATTGATATCAAGAAAAAGGGGCTGACTCCTCAAATTAGGGGCTCAGAGGGCCAGAAGTCTTTCATCTTAAACTCTTTAATGATCAATATTTTGTGATACATTACAGAAGCAAAGTTGTTCATATTAACAATTTGAAACAATATATTATACTATTACGGTCATATGTTAGGTAATAAGAGGTCACAAGGGGCCCGAATGCTAAATCTTTGACGCTTCATATCTCGAAAATGGGGAAAATTTTGATAAGCAATATTGAACAAAAGATGGTCATAATAATGATCTTAACAATATGCATACTTTGAATTTTTGTAAAATGGCCCCATTAAGGACTTGTAGGTGTGGCCACTAAATATTTATATTAAGCATATCTACTAAACGAAAAGAAATCTCTGAATAATTGTAGAACAAAAAGTCTTTGAAATCACAAGTCCTTTCGTTTGATATCAAGAAAATGGGGCTGACCCCTCAAATTATGGGCTCAAAGGGGCCAAAATTCTTTTATTTATAACTCTCTAATGATCAATATTCTGTTTTACATTACTGAAGCAAAAGTATTTATCTTAAAGATTTGCAACAATATATTATACAATTTTGATCATATGTTACGTAATTAGGGGTCAGAAGGGGCCAGAATGTCAAATCTTTGATACTTTATATCTCGAAAAGGGGGAATATTTTGATAAGCAATATTGAACAAAAAATGGCAAGAATAATGTTCTTAGCAATATGCATACTTTGAATTTTTGTAAAACGGCCCCATTGAGGACTTGTAGGGGTGACCCTTAAATATTTTTATTTAGCATATCTCCACAACGAATAAAAATCTCTGAATAAGTGTTGAACAAAAAATCTTCAAAATCACAAGACCTATCATTTAATATCAAGAAAAAAGGGCTGACTCCTTAAATAAAGGACTTAGAGGGTCAAAAGTATTTCATCTTCAACTCTTTCATGATCAATGTTTTTTTAAAAGTATCCATTATGAGAAGCAAAGATATTCATCTTAATGATTTGCAACAATACATTATAAAGTTTTGATCATATGTTTCGTAATAAGTGGTTGCAAGGGGCCAAAATGCTATATCTTTGATGCTTTATATCTCAAAAAGAGGGAGTATTTTTATAAGCCATATTGAACAAAACATGTTCAGAATATCGTGATAAAATCAGAAATATAAAAATAAATGAAGGAAAACTTAATGTCATTCTCTTTTAACGAATATCTCAGTCAAAATCACATGTCATCTTATCGAGAAATTCAACGGAAGACCTACTCGTTGCTCGCAACGAGATCTCATCTAGTTATTATTATTATTATTCCTGGGAAAATTTTGTCCTCGAGTGATCTTGTAAACTACACATCCGAGTAAGGTAAAATGTTTTTAGGGTCAGTAGACATGTTATGTAGATTTGCCGAACAAAGGTCATTTTGCGCGCACGTGCTTGCAAGAGCGCGCACGTGCAACACGAAAAATGACGATTTAATTGATATCAGCGTAACTTTTTACATTTTTGATGAAATGCTTTGAAACTGATAATATACGGATATATTAGTAGCATAGACAATAAGACATGGTCAAAATAGCAAGATCTCACGCGCATGCACGTGCGCTTCGCTCTGATTGGCTGAAACTAAAGTCTCAATATCTTTCTTGTTTTTTGATGAAATCCTTTGAAATTTTGAACATAGCCATGCATTAGGATATCCTACAAAATGATATATAAAAATTATCATGAAAACACGTGCATGCACGTGCGCTGCAATCTGATTGGCTGAAACTTTAAATAGCTATAACTCCCTTGGTTTTCAACCAAACAGGATGTGATTTGGAACATAGATAGATATAATATACTTCTACAAGAAGGTATGGTCACCATGCACATCCATACACGTGCGTGTACATGCACTGCAATCTGATTGGCCGAAACTTTAAATAGCTATAACTCCCTTAGTTTTCAATTAAACAGGATGAGATTTGGAACATAGATAGATATAATGGACTTCTACAAGAAGGTATGATCACCATGCACATCAATACACATGCGTGAACGTATGCTGCAATCTGATTGGCTGAAACTTTAATCAGCTATAACTCCCTTGGTTTTCAACCAAACGGAGTGGGATTTAGAACATAGATAGATGTAATGGACTTCTACAAGAAGGTATGTCACCATGCTCATGTATGCACGTGCGTGCACGTGAAATGAATAAAATCAAAAATACACTTGAATGAGCGTATTCTTTAATACTTTTGGATTAAATACTTTAATACTTAGTATATTAAAGTATACAGATTGTGTAGAAAAGATGATATGGTCATTACGCACATGCATTCACATGCGCACGCGTGCAGTGCTAAATTTGAATGAACTTGGTACCCTTCTGGGTAAACGTTGTTAAAGTCTCAAATGCATAAAGTTTGTCTTATTTAATGAAGCTTACAGGGAATATGGCACCAAAAGGGAGATGGGGAGCGTTTGGGGAACATCTGTAACGGCCCCCGTTACAATTAGCACTAGTTATTATTAGGGTCTTCCGTCTCCAACGGAAGACCCTTCTATTATTCTATTGTTTCTTTTTCACTTTTATTATTAGGGTCTTCCGTCTCCAACGGAAGACCCTTCTATTATTCTATTGGTTTTTTTTCACTTTTATTATTATTATTCTTCTTCCTTTTTCTTTACAATTTTTGTG